TTTGCTATATTTCGTATTCAATAAAAGAAGTCACAAGAACTAAGAGCCAATTATATTATCTTAAAACGAGGTGAAAATTACAAAAGTGAGCGAATTTACTAATTATCACCTCCTCGTTTCAAGATACAGAATTAGTCGTCCGATATACATACATATGCAAATGCATTTTGCTAAAAAGATCGAATTAAAATATTAATTGATATTTCGCAGATTTCTTTGAGCAGTTGAAGCCTGAATTGATAGCACCTGTTGTTTCTTGGCTGTGTCACGAAGATTGTACAGAAAATGGTTCGATAATTGAAGCGGCATTAGGCTGGGCTGGCAAATGTGAGTATTAAAGATATTTAGCTTCATAGCTGTTAATATCTGTACAGAAAATACAATTTTTGACGAATAATCATTTTCGAAATTTCATATTGTTTAAAATAAGCAGCTATTTATCTTATATTCTTATAAATTTTTATATTTTTTTCATTGAAATTAGTATAGAAATATTGCAAAAATGGATATAAAAGATGCCACGTTTAAATTTATAGGTCATATAATCCGCTCTTCGGGTTGTGCATTACGACAAAATTTATCGGTTGACGTTACACCAGAAACCGTACGAGAAAATTGGTCGAAGGTAACAGACATGACATCGGCAAAACGACTCAATTCGATCCAGGTAAAAAGAATATACCCGTGTACATTGAACTTGACATTTCTTATCCCACAATCTCTGTTTAGGAAGCAACGGCAGAACTATTTGGCGTTCTCGAGAGAATGAAAAGTGGTGCTTCTTCAAATAATGTAAGTTATGTATCCGTAAATCTTCTTTGTGGATCACAGAGTTTATTTTTTATCATTTCCATTGTTCGCAGGTAGATCATATCTTAAAGAATGATTATAATTTCCGGGACATTATACTGTATGCGCTTGGAGGTACGTTAAACAGACTGAATATATAACAGATTCATGAATTTACGCAACTTAATGTAAATTTATCGGGTTTTGTACTTCAGTTGGTGCTACAGTTCAAGAACCAAATGATATTCGTTATTTGTATGAGAATGCTGACGAGTTTTCGATTTTACCCACTTTCTTCGTTTTGTATGGACCTATGGGCTGCATGGGTTCTTCTATCCTACAAGATGCTGTTCCGTTTGCATTTAATCCAACACAAGTATGAATAAGATTTTTTTTAGTCATTGCGTTATTTTATTTGATGTTCTTAAATTTATTTTGCATTGATATTTGTAGATACTTCATGGCGAACAATATCTAGAAATTCATAAACGATTACCTACGGAAGCCACAGTGGAGACGCGCTTTAAAGTTCAAGATGTTTTGGATAAGGGAAAAGGCACCGTTGTCTTAATCCAACGTATGTAAATTTTCTAATTTATATGAAACACGATTGGATTGTCACAATATGCATAATGTACATATTTAACGAGTGACATTTGTGATACGAATACAATCTTAATGAATAATTAATGTAAGATATTTGTAACTTGGATGTAATATCCGTGAAAGATGTGTGCAATAATGCATAGACTTAGTTTACGTAAATACTATACATATGTAACGTTTCTCTAGATGATACTTACGATGTAGCAACCGGCGAAAAATTATCGAGTGGTCAGATGTCTGCATTTATCGTCGGTTCAGGTGGTTTTAAAGGAAAACGAACATCGACGTTTGTCATTCCAACCATGGATCCTCCCACTCGAAAACCGGATGTAACAGTTACACAAAAGACTAATGATGATCAGGTAAAAAAAAAGAATATACTTATTAGATATATTTTTTCTCAAAAACTAGAATTTATATTTTAAATACATTTAAAGAAATAAATAATATTGATAAACTTCAAAATTGGAACGCTAGCTTGAAAATTAAAATTAATCTTATTATCATGTTTTCTTTTAAAATTGAATAGTTTTATTTTCAGCTTCTTACGTATTCATAAATGTAATGAAAATATTCGAATGTCTTGTCTTAAATTTTATATTTTGATTAAATTATACAATTTTAGTATCATCTTTACAGGCTGCTTTGTACAGATTGAGTGGAGATTTGAATCCTTTGCATATTGATCCTAATGTCGCTATGATGGGAGGATTCAAAAAACCGATATTGCATGGATTGTGCTCTCTGGGATTCTCTACCCGTCATGTTCTTCAAACTTATGCTGCTGGAGATGCACATTTATTCAAATCCATTAAGGTATAATTATCGAATAAGAATATGATATTCATAAAGTTTCAAGGTAAACTTTTTACTCAAAATAATTTGAAATGCAAACTAAATTGATAACTCAATAAAATGAAAAAGATTTATCTGTTATGATGATATAAACGCATCAGAACGTTCATACTTTTACGTCGGAAATTTTGAAAATAAGAAAGAGAAATTATATTTTACATCGTAGAGTCTACAATATGAAAAAGATATATTTTTGGTATTCTAAACAATACTGAGATTAACAGTACTTAAAATAAGTCATCTTTGTATATATGTATAAAAAATTTATATCTTTTTAGTAGGAATAAGTATTGTCACAAACTATCTCGAAATTCACATTCTCGTTTTAAAAATATTATACTAAAACAAGGTTTTTCATTATTTCTCTATGTTTATGCGTGTGAAAACAAAATTATATCATAAGAAAATATTTGATAAGTCTTGGTGTAAAGCCTCGTGAACTTTTGTGCATTAATTATCATAGTAATATATGCAATATGCACACTCATGGTCTACGCTAAAACGATGTTGTTATAAATAGCAGTTACAAACCACAATGAGTACATAAAACGTGATGTAGCAGTGTTCAATGGTAAACATTTGTTAACCAAGAAACATTTGTGTCATTGCATCAACGTAAGTCAGTGTTAAATTTGGATAATTTATTAAGTGTTTTTTATCATAAAAGGTAAATATATATGTTTAAAAAATGTAATAATATAATATGTCAAAAAAAAAACAATAATAAATAAGATAAACATTACGGTACACGGAAAAAAATCTTGCTGTTTTGAATTTTGTTTTGCTACAGTAGTTTATTGTAAAAAAAAGTTACAATTAATTAATTTGATAGTTCAATTCATTAATAACAAATGCAATGAAACTAAATTCATGCAATCTGCAATATTTTTTTTATCTTGACCACATACTGTTTATTTTATATACATATATTGTTTATCTTGACAACATATTTGTATTATCCGTTTTGATTAAATTATATCAGTGAACTATAGACTCTGTAATCAGAGATTACTCTATAGTACCTATTTACGTAATCTTGACTATGATCCACTTAATGCTATAAATGCTTCGAAGTATTTTTTGATTGGTCAGTTAGTAAAATTCTTTCTTCCGATTGGTCAAAAGCTGCGAAGCATTTGTAGCGCCAAGTGGACCGCACCCCTTATATGCGACAAGGAGGCATTTTAGTGACATTCCTTACGGACTTAATGTGATTAACATCTTTGTTTAATATAATATTCTAGGTAAGATTTGCAAAACCAGTTACACCAGGTCAGACTCTACGTACTGATATGTGGCGCAACGGTAACAGGATACATTTCCAAACATCTATCCACGAGACCGGAGTACCAGTTATTACAGGTTAGTAATAACTGGTACTCCAGTCTAGTACAGAATTTTACATATATTATTTTATTTATTATTTTGATAAATTTCTTTGTTTTTAAAAGTAGCGAGATAAAAACGGATAATTTTATTTTGCAGGTGCTTACATTGATCTGTTGGAGGTGAAAATGGGAATACCACGAGCAAATCTGTGTTCTGCACAAACAAATCTGGACAGTGATGCTATATTTGCAGCTATGAGTGAACAAGTGAAACAGAATCAGAATGAGGCTAAGAAAGTTAATGCGGTCTTCCTTTACAATATTACCGTTGATGGGAAACATACATCTGAATGGAGTATGTAACTTTGGAAAATTTTGATAATGTGTCTTAAGAAACTGTGATATTTAGGCTGCATATACCCTATTAAATTATGGGGTTAAAACGGAAATTTTTAATATCAATTAAAAAAATTTTTTTATTCGGCATGAATGCAACGTATTTTAAACTTTCTGAAGTGTTCAAATTGTCTCACAGAGGTCTTTCGTATCAACCATTTATTATGATCGTGTTTCATAATTCTTCGAAAGTTTAATAAATAACAAAAATGTTATTTGTGTGTGTGCTTCTACATAAGTAATGTGTGTATGTTCTACATAAGTAATGTTTGCTCTTCTTGATAGCTCTCGATTTGAAGAATGGTGAGGTACATAAGGGAAAACCTAAATCTGGGAAAGCAGACGCGACACTTACTTTAGAAGATAAAGATATGGTTGAAATCGTAAGTTGGTCAAGTTAGCGTAAAAAATAAAGAGTTATTTTCCTTTCTAAACAATATCATAATTGTTGCAGGCATTAGGAAAATTAAATCCACAATTGGCATTTATGCGTGGAAAATTAAAAATAACTGGAAATATTATGCTTACGCAAAAGTTAAAGAGTCTTATGGAAACTAACAAAGCAAAGTTATGATTCTTTAATTTTGTTATCATAGTTCTATAACGTAATTTATGTGATTAAAGAACGCAATAAATTACGAATTTTTTTACATAAAATTCAATTGAAAGTATTTGTATAGGCTGGGGATATTCTTACATACATTGTTATTGTTTGTTGCAACAGAAACTTTTATACAGAATTTGTTATGTGGTCTGGAGTCAATCTTGATTTTATGATTTGATAAACCTGTATTGTAATACATTTATAATAAAGTTATCAACTGAAGGATTTTGCTCATAATTTGCAGAAATGTATAGTTAAGTATGTAAAATATATTCTACTCACTAGAATAAAAAGAAATGTAAGATTCATTTTTTTAAATACATAGATAAAAAGATTTATATTAGATATATATATATAAAGATTTTGAACACACATATATATATATATTTACACGACGCAAGAGAATTTTGTCTATACACAAAGAAAGTAAAATATATCTTACGGATATCGTTAAGGATAAAATGTACAAGAAAAAAAGCACGTGAACAAAAGATGGAAAGAAAATCTTTGGTTTAACATAGGTCTCTTAATAATTATAATCGTCAGATGTGTTTTTCAAACTGATGCATTAAAATGCATTAGTTTCAAAGGATGCAGCAAAGCTTTCTCGATCGCGGTTTTTTCAGTACGGCTTTAATAGCTTCCACAAAAACCTCTTCAAGACCCTCCTGTTTTATTGCGGAACATTCGACGTACTTGACTGCCTTTATCTTTCTTCTCATTTTGTTGCAATCTCGTGGACTAATAATATCCATAGCTTCTTGATGATTTCTAAGATCTGCCTTGGTACCTGTAATGTATAAAAATATTTGTATTTACTAGAAGAAAACAAATTTATAACGTAAACAAATTATACAAAATATATATTTATATTAAAAAAAATTACAAGAGACGTAAAAAGTATTTAAAACGATTAAGGCCCGGCTTATCATTTATTGGTTAACATGTAGTTAGGCTTAACTTGATAATGTAAGAATTACATTTCTCTGTCAATGGCTGCATTCAGCAGAGAAAGCAACTTTGCAATTGTGGTAAAATTCATTAAGATAATTAATTTTACCCTTAGTAGCTTACTGGATGTAAATGTATAAACCATTCATATTAAAGAATTTCATAACAGTGCAAAGCTTTCTCTACTGAACACAGTCTATGGTTAATTACTAAACTGCTGATTTTGTAGTGAATAAGTTTAAAGTTACTTTTTTCTACGAAATCTCGTTAGTGATTAGTTATAGCTAGAAAAAACAATTTTTACATTATCAATTTGTCATCAAGTTAATCAGATAATGAAAAATCGGTTCTAAGCGATCAAAAAGAAAAATACTGCGCAAGTATTTATATTCCTATTTTTTCATAATTGTTCACATAAGAAATCTTTTGTTTCTGTTTAATATATAAAATGCACTTACCCACAAGTACAATTGGCACATTGGGACAATGCGCTTTGAGTTCTGGATGCCATTTACTCGCTACATTTTCGAAAGAACTACGAGCACTTACAGAAAAACAGACCAGGAAACAATCAGTCTGCAAACGAAGAATAAATGCAAGATTATATATGCACGACTATCTAAAGATACATTTTTTTTTAGAATATTAAAGATGAATAAGTTGATTTTATTATTGAAAATAGATGATGAAAATTTCTCTGAATTTTTATGTAAATTTCAAAATTTTTTAGAATTTATGATTAATTTTATAACTTTTTGAAAATCTCAAATTTTTTAATACAAATTGGAACTCTTTTCAGAAGTGTCGAGAAAGTTGGCACACATCTTTTCTAGAATTCTTCATATATGTGAATTCTGAAATATTCTAAAATTTCAAAAATTTCTCATTCTATAATTTTTTATGAAATCTGAAAAAGTTTAAAGTATTTTTTCAGAAATGACAGAATAAGAAATTTTAGAATATTTCAAAATTAATATACATGAAAAATTCTAAAAAAAAGATGTAAACTTCTTCAGTATTTTTGAAACAAATCCCAGTTAATAAAAAAAAAATTATGAGAACGTTTTCATTCATTCATTCATTCATTATCACGTACGTTTGGGTATGATAATGGTCTAAGCCTCTCGTAATCTTCTTGACCAGCCGAGTCCCACAATGTCATTTCAAATTGCTGTCCACCTACGCATATGCTGTCAACGTAGTTATCGAAACTGTAAATAACAATCGGATAAATGAAATAATAGATTACAGTTCTATTGAACAAATTAAATATTTTAAAAGCTCTAACATATTTTTAATATAACGCAGGAGAAGAAATGAGACAAAAGCATACTTATATAAACAAACAGATCTAGAATACTCTACTAGCAAAGAGCTGCTGCATTAACTAAGTTATGCATTATGATATTTACACGGTAGGTACATATTCCGTTGGGAATTCCTTCTTTGTATACGTGATTAGCATACATGTTTTCCCAACCATACCATCGCCAACGGTCGTAATTTTAATTTTAATTGGTTTGTTTCGAGACGTCATCTTTGTTTTCCCTATAAAATAAAAGCGTACTAATTACATAACTTCAATAACTCGCGTCAGCGAGTTACATAAACATTGTCGATCCTATAAAAACATAATTACATAATTGAAACGTATCAACTTTATTCGCATTCCTTTTATACTTTTTAAAAAAGAACAAATTTTTTTAATAAGTTTATTTTCAGTACAATCCCATTTTTTGTTGTCTGTTAACGGACTGTTCGATGGTGCAGTGATTCCGTCACTCCTTAAACTGAAAAGAAAACAACAGACGCTTCCGGCCACTGTCATGGCATCAAGGCTATCCCTCAAGTTATACGTCGTATCGCGCATACCAATGAAATAAGAAACGACTACTTCATTCTTATCACTGTTAAGCTAATAATTATATCATCTCACAAATTATATGCGAGGTAAATAGCTAAATTTTCAATATTTTGTGTGTGGTTAATTAGCTATTACATGCAAGTCTCGTCAGACGCAAATTGATGATGAATTAAAATGATTAAGCGTACGTCTTTACAGCATATTAACTCGGAAACGTCTTCTGTATAAAACAACGGTGAAGATTGTATCTCGCTCATCAGTATTTGAAATGATCCTTTCGTATAATCAAGCAAATTGGAACAAATTTGAAATCTCAGTGTTGTTTGATTTTCAAAATCAAATCAGATTTTCCTCGCCTCTCATCTAGATATCACGCCTTGAGATTTATCTTTTTATTCAAGCGAATTGATAAGCCAGAACCCGCAAACGTTCCTTTCAATAAGATGTGTACATTCATTCGCGAGGGGCTGTTCGGGTTAGCGGAACTTGCTGGTATTTCTTATCGAGTACGGTCATTATCAACGCGCCGTCCGGTCGACTCTCCGACTGTATGATCTGCCTGAATAGCAACGGCAAGGATTGATAGTACGTCGCGATAATCGTTATTGCGGTCCATTCATATTCGGATAAATTTATCCGAAAATTATTGCTTGTACAGTAAGACTGATTATAAATACAATGCGTTCTGATATGGATATATCTCATGCCAAATGTAATTAACTTAATCCCTTCTTATTATTAATACTGAAAATAATCTTCTTATTATATCACTCGATGATCCTGATTTTATTCAATTGTTGTACACGCATCAATTTTTTTTGTATTATCATTTTGCATTATTTTGTTAAGAGCGATCAAGAAATTAAGGCTAAATTTAATGGGAACGAGGCAAAATTTTGGTCTGTTCTGTTGCGTCTCAGGTAAATTAATTTTTAATAAAATTTTTTGTCAATAATTTATTAGTTTCTATTTCTATAAAAAGCAATCTAAACTGCTGAATTGAAAATTATAAATACTTTTATAAACTGTAAGTAAAGGTTCTCTAGATTATGAATAAATATTGACGAAAGTGAAGGTATCCGCTGAATGACTCATTACGTTATGGGATATGGCAATTGCTTAATTAAAACACGCGTGCAAGCTGGAGTCATATTTCCTAATTTGTGTTAAGACCCGCCCTGATGACACTGAGGTCAATATACTCTCGTGACAATCTAAGTGTGCGTGTCGACTGAAAGGGACGAGAAAATTCATTTCCCTCTATTTACCCCCTTTTATTCTCCGCAAACATGCTCTAAATTTTTATCTGCCGAAAAAGGAAAGTAAAATTAATAATTAACGTTGAATGTAGAAATTAATAATGTATTATCTTTTTTTAAACATAATTTTTCTAAACGTGTTTAAAAGTTGGTGTAAATCATTGATTATCCCACGTGTATTATATTTACACACGTTAAAAAAACTGAGAGTTAACAAGCGAGAAGAGTCGCAGTATTCACACATTCTTGCTGTTGTTTATCTTTCTTTGGTGTCCTTACAACGCCACATGTGTCGAACTTAAATAACGAGCGCAATCGATCGACATGCATATTATAATGAACGTAACGAAGCGGTTCACATATGAATTCACGCCGATGCGTGTGCATGAGTTATGAGAGGCTTTAGACCGGCACAAATTTGTGTGAAGGGAAAGGTGTCGATGAAGAGATGAACCCTGATAAAAAGAGGTAGATACGCATAATTATATCAACCATTTACGCATCCATTTTACGGTGCAAAATATAGACCCGTTTACGAAAATAGGGGCAAATGATAATACATTTTTAATTAGTAGCCGGTAGGATAAATAATTTTATAAAATTTGTAAAATGTGTTTTTGTGATAGATATTTTTCAATAAGTCATGTACAATTTTTTTTGTATGAATAAATTTTGGAAAATTTATTAATCATTCTTACAGAAAAATATTCTATTGCTAAGAGAAGTGATTACTCAATTTACTTTCTTCCTTTTAAGTAACGATTATTTTTCACAAAGAATACTTTTTAATAATAATCCTAAAATATATTTATTACAAATTTTATAAAATCTTATTAACGTATTCAATACAAGAATTGATTTTCTTTTGAATAATTCAGAAGATAAATTTAATGCTTTTAATAAACTTATGATAGATCTGCGGATATATAAACTTTTGGAAAATTCGATCAAGTAATTATTACTTGTGTAGAGTATGTATTTTTTTTTATGTGTAATGCTTTATCTTTTCCTCGCCAGAAGAAGAAAGTTAAAGAGAAGTAGCTGCAGACAACGCGTAATCAATGTGATTGTCACATCCTTTACGACAGGATACGGAACAACAGTCAACTTTACGCGGTTATTTATCAGTTCGTTGTCCTATTTCACGCAGAATTCTGGAAAATTTATTTCTATCACGGTTTTTCCTCTTCACGGAGAACTCGAAAGGCACGTGTGAAACGTTCTGCAAAATACATAACGCAACGGGATTAAAAATGATCGATTAACACTTCCGTATTAAAACGGGAAGTTTTCTCGAGAAATTAATGGATTACCGCAGAGTTGCCGAACAATTGTCGTGTGACGTCATGCAAACTCTGCGAGCGAATTTAACGAGCAGGAGAGAAAATAAAAAACGGATTAATAAGAAAAAAAAAAGGTTATCTCGATCAATAGTATCCATCGTGATACAAAATACAAAATAAGTTTTCGTGACGTTTTTTTATCGCGTTTTATATCGCTTGTATTTGCGCGAAGTCGGCATAATTCGCACGTGAACGTTTAAACTTACAGTAAGGCGTTGAGAATCATCAAAGGTGCGATAAAGAGATAAGATAATTAAAGAATAGATTACACAAGAAGGGAACGGCCTAGCTTAATTGTACCTTTTCCTGACTTGACGCATTTAAAGACTTTTGTATTATTTAGTTACATTTATTCAAATCGGATATAAATAATTTCCTCTTTTAAGTCATTCACGAACTGATGTCATTTAATAACATTGATCACAATACGAAAACAAAGTTGCGGCTACAATATTTCAAACTAATAAAAAATGATTAACATTATACTGTCTAAAAATCATTGAATATTACATGATTGTTTTAACTTAAAAAACGGGCTGTGATTAAACGAACGGGAAGCGCAATTTGTAATAATTTAAAGCGAAAGATTAATTCCGAAAAAACAGAATATACAACGATTTTTTTCTATTATCCTACACACATCTTATTTCTTTTCAATTTTTGATTAAAAAAAAAATTTTGTTGAACGTTTGAAATTAACAAAACAATTGGAGACACTCTTAAGAACTCCCGATTTATTTCCGCATTTATGATATGACATCATCTCGAAATAAATTTTACATCTCGTTCTATGACAAACGGCTGATATATAAATTACTCACCGTGAGATACGTCATGCGAGAAGAGAGCACGCGTTAAACGGCGGCATCAAGAACGTTTCACATGTTCGTAGCTGAGAGTCTTATAGAGACATCGACGTCGCGATACGGTATACCGAGTCGCAGAGGAAAGACTGATGATGCGTGTCGCGCATACGCACGTCGCAACGGTTGCTCGAGGACTACAGAACGCGCACATTTGCCGCCTGTGACAGCCCGCGGCCGCCGCATGAAGAATCAGCTGACGTGGAGTACTACGGAACGCAGCCTGAGGCATCAATGCGCGTTTATGTATCGAAATTAAATCGACTCACCTTCTTTGACGAAACTGCAGTTATATAAGAGATAAAAACAAAATAAGACTCATTCTATCGTTATACTAACGGCGCTTGAAATGAAGCTTGTTAAATTATTGAAATGAAGCTTGTTAAATTACACTGTTATAATGTCGCTTCTACTTAGATTAACTTTAATAACTTACTCGTCATCTTTTTCTAATTTTTAGAACTAGGAAAAGATGAAGAATATGTTGAAATTAAAGTTAATCTACATTTATGAAAATGAATATAAAGGGCAAAAATGTAAAGGTGGAACTTAAGAGACTTAATTAAGTCGCGCGAGACAAACAGGTAAAAATAACAGTCCTCGTAATACCTGAAATATTAGATATATTAGGTTTGAGTAAAATATTGAGGTACATTAACACCATCAATCTAGTAAATACCAGCGATTAAAAGTAACATAAACATTATAGTGTTATAATTTTTTACACTTAATATAAATATGATACATCATCTATTTTATATACGTAACAATTATATTGTATTGTGAAATTATAACATTGATGTTATGTCTACTTTTAGTTGGTGTTTACTGGAAACTGCATCGTCTGCATCTGCATCAAGCTCAGGTTTTGTTAATTTATGTATTATATTATAAAGATGGAAGACAAAGTTTGAAAATTTCTAAAAAAATCTTTATGTTTTTACCCTTCTCTCATTTTGAAGGTCTTTGGGGCGACTTCGAACAAATTGATTCACTTAATCGACAGTTATAATTCTTGATAAGCACAGATATTCATTTCTATACCAATATAAATTAACTTCAATCTCGATTTAAATTAACTTTTTATTTTCTTCTACTTCTAACGTCCGTTTTTACCAATGTAATGTAGATTAACTTAAATTATCTCGATTCAATTTGTTCTTTATCTTTTTCTAATTTTTAGAACTAGAAGAAGATGAAGAGTTAGTTGAACCAAGATAAAAATTAAACTTATACTATTTGTAGAAATGGACAATAATGGATAAGATTCCGGTCCTACTGTTTACCTTTTTCTAATTCTTAGAATTGAAAGATAAAGAGTAAATTGAATCGAATTTATATAAAGGTAATTTTACATTGGTGGAACCGGGTCTAAGAATTAGGAAAAGATGAAGAGTAAATTAACTTGAGATTAAATTAAAGTTAAATCTACATTGGTAGAAATGGGCCAAGATTGTTTAAACCAAATTCTCTAATACACAATTCGTTTTTCTTAATCTTTTCGTTACATATTAAATATAATTCTATTAATTAATTAATTAATTTTAGTACAGCTCACTTTAATCATTATTTAAGAAATATCTTGGGAACATTCTTGGATGTTAATTCAGAAAATAGGGACATCTGCGAGGTAATTGAGCTGTTTGGAGTTTTATTCATTACTTATTTTTGTTAATTTCTACCAATTCCAATCAGAAATGATAATGGAATCGACATCGAATCGATGTCGATTCGACAGCGATTTGATGTTTTCGACGTCGTTCGATGTCGAATCGATGTTTTTTATCACTATCATTTCTGACTGGAATGTTAACTTTAATCTCAGTTTAATTTACTTTTCATTCTTTCCCAATTCTTAAAACTAGGAAAAACTAAAAGTTAAAGAGTAAAGTTAATCTACGTTGATAGAAACGAATATTAATAAAACAATGTTGATTAAGTCAATCAGAATCGAAGTCTCGCCTTTCTGGTTTTCTCAAAATCATGTTTTCAATACGTAGTTATCATACATATATATATATATATATATATCGTATTCATTTCCATCCGTGGCGAGTAAAAAATGCAGCATCTGCATATCGAACACGACGCATTCTCCTGCACTTGCATATAATGCTCCTGGATGACGCAAATACGGCCGAGAGATACTTTGATTAACATCACGTTTGTCTGGCATCTGCTTTAATTGATAATAATGTCGATTGTTCAGTCGATTTGGCATAATGATTATGATTTTGGCGTGCCTTTAATATGAACACACAAATGTATTATTATCATTATTTATCATTATTACAATCATCTCACAAATATATATTCTGACCTGTCAATAAATAAATAAATAAATAAATAAATCGCTTCTCCCGTCCTAAGAAAAATAGATCGATTTTATCGTTCTTTCTTTCCTTGGGACAGAAACCCTATCAATATATAATCATTCTTGATCAATCCCGTTTCCCGCGTCCATTCAAATCTACCCTCTTTCGATGTCCAGTGAGTTCAATTCTAAATTTCTAACAGATCTACAAGTCGTCCTGCTATTGGTCGGTTCGAAATCGAACACACGTTCACAAAAACCACTGGGCATAAGTAAATTAATAAATTACAGTGGCAACACTGATTCCATTAGTTTGAAATTGAATACTACTCGCATACGCGGGCGCATAATAACGCGAGAAAAATATGATTTTTAAGAATAAGTGAGATTTAAGTTCATATTTTTCTATTAATCTTTCACAAATGATTAATAATTAATGTTATAATTATCGACACGCACTAACTTCACGATTATCCGACCGTAGACATATATTCGAAATAATTCCTTGAATTATATGTATTCTTGATTAGATGTAGATATTACCGGACACACGTTACTTATCAGAGAACGCGGATGGAAAAACCCGCGAGTAGTCAGATGAATCCTGAGAACATTCAAAACCCAGGATCAGAAATTAATTCCTACATCGAACAGGTGAAACAAATGACGGTTGAAAAAAACTTAAGATCTCTTTTTTTTCCATTTCAATTTTTGAACTGGTACAATCAGTTATATTTAGTTTACTGTTTCATTCTTGACTTATTGCACTAGTTCAGAAGTCTTCGAAAAAGAACAGGCCTCTTTTCACAGTCTTGTTAAAACAGCGGCTTATTAAAATAAACGTTGAGCGATTTCATAATTTTCCACTTAACATATATATGTTCATATAGATTCCGTTCTTTTTTATAATATTATTTATAAAAGCTGAGAAAATTGATATTTCAGTTTACAACATTAAGAAAATTGAAGGACAAGTCTGATAAAGAAATACAATACTGGAAGAATCAAAAGTCAAAATTGCTCGAGAGTAATAACAGCATCGGAATGAATTTCGACAAGTTAACGCGGAATGTATCCGATCTGGAAGAGAAAGTATCGAAGTGTACAGGGATCTATAATACGAAGAAGCAGGAATTGGAAGACTTACAAATTGCGAGAGTCGATATATTGCATAAGCAAATGTAAAACTTTATAATTATTGTTAAATATTCAATCAACGTCGAATAAAAAATTTATTCGGTCGAAAAAGGTGTGAGAGAAGTTTCTGCGAAGAAAATTGCTTTGAGTGATTATCTCATTTCAGGAATAACTGTTTGTCGGAAACAGGAAGATACGTGGATAACTTTTGTCAATGGATGAACTACGTATGATTTTTAACGATTCTTAATATTAATTTTTAGGGTTGAGTAGTATAACTATAGTAATATAAATTAAAAGTTAAATAAAAAGTTACAAAATTTAATTTTGTTATTTTTAAAATTTAATTTATTAAAACATTTTTCTTTTTTTTTAAGTTAAAATTTTTGTGTCTCTGCAAATGTATCAATATGATTTTCTATAAAATCTTAAATATTAGAGACAATTAATTAATTTAGAAAGAGCTCAATGATTGTGATGAACGCGATGCTCGTACCGTTTAAAGATGAATGTGGATTGGATCTGCATTTAGGGAACGTTATTATATAGTAATGTTATAGTGTTATTATTGCGTCATGCTATTCTTAAAAAGTTTTCTTAGTTTATCCAGAGGTGTATACCTCAGTAAAGAAAACTATCAATGATTACAAAATAAATGACATTCTGCCAAACGCAGTTATATTCTCTGTTTATTCATAACAAAGTTATAAATAACGCTAATTTTCTTTTTATTATTAAAGTCTAGGGACAATTTGATGAAGGAAATTAGTAGTCATCAAAATGAATGTGAAAAGGTTCGCATAGAACTTGAGAGTCTAAAACAAAATGTAGAGAATATGATAAGAGAATGCGATGCAGATTACACTAAAGCTAACGACGACGACTTGTCGAATTTTAACGGTGCAATATTTGACATCAGGTAATAAAGTATAAAATTTATAATAATCATATTATTAATTATTTAATAATTATCCGGTAAAAAATTTTTCATGCATGAATAAGTATAAATATGTATAAACATACATAAACACGCATAAATATTCATAAATATGTATAATTATATATGAAATATGTCCATACATGTTCATACATCCTTCTTTCTTTTGTAAAATTACTTTTTAGTGTAATAGAAATAATAATAGTAATGTGAAAATATAGAAAATAATTAAAGGGATAATTTTCGCATTGTTTGTTTTAGAAAAAACAAGTTTGGAAAAATGTAAAAAAAAATACTCATACATAATTATACATACTTTTATATATAATTATACATAAATAATTTTTTTACATTTCTTCAAACTTGATTTTTTCCAAAACAAATAGTGCGAAAATTACCTTTTTAATTATTTTTAATGTTTTCACATTACTATTATTATTTCTACTAAACTAAAAAGTAATTTTATAAAAAAAAAATGTATGAACATGTATGGATATATTTCATATATAATTATACATGTTTATGAATATTTATGCGTGTTTATGTATTTGTATAAAATTTACTTATATATAAAATGTAATGTTTTTTTTATGTAGATCAATCAATAACGATTTAACGAAAAACATCAAAGTGGAGGAGGATGGATTAAACAAAATACAGAACAAAATAAAGCAATGCACAGTCAAACTTCACCGAATTTAAGACCAAAAAAACACACTAATGCTAAGGATAAAGGAAAATTCTAATATGTTTATTTCTCCTTTTTAATTATTAGAAATAGATTTAAACATTTAAAAAAAGTATAAATTAAATGTAGTTAT